AAGGAAGCCCTGTTGCTGGAGAAGAACGGCTTGGAGAGCAAAAGACTGCGCTCCAGCCAGGTAGGGCAAGAGTGTGACACCTCAGCCCCTTGCTTGATTTCCAGCAGAGGTGGGAGGCTGGAAGACCTGGGTGCCATCCTGGGTCTGGCAGAGGACTGCAGATCAGGATGAGGTGGTGTTGGGAAGCGCGTAGCAAATCTGCCTCTACAGGAGAGCCTGCTTGTGCTGTGCCTCTGAGCTTGTTGGTTTGATAGCCCTTGGCTTAGGTGTGCAGGGAGGTCACTTGACCGATGGAGGGAGTAGAAAGGGGCTGGAGGTCTGACTTGCCTTTAGAGCAGGTCCCCTTGAGTGTCTTCTGCTGCAGGCCCTGACAGATGACATAGTGCGTGTGTCCAGCCGCCTGGAGCACCTGGAAAAGGAGCTGACTGAGAAGAACGGGCAGCTGCGTCACGGCAGTGCCCACGACCAACAGCAGATCCGCCAGGAGATCAACAGCCTGCGCCAGGAGAAGGACCAGCTGCTCAAACAGAGGCTGGAGCTCGACAACAAGCTGCGTCAGGGCACCCTGCTGTCCCCAGAGGTACCTCTTCTTGGGGCTGGGCTGCTCTGCTTGCAAGAGCATGAGGTAGTAAGAGAGAAGTGAAGACCTGAGCATGGGGTCATTAGCAGACGCTCCCCCACGTCCCCAAACTGTGCGTATCCCAACTTCTTGCCAGCACTATTGAGATGACAAGGGAGGTTAGGGCAGGTGAGACAGAGCGAACCCTTTGCTCTCTAGTAACTGCGGCTCTGCCCTGGCAGGAAGAACGGATCTTGTTCCAGCTGGACGAGGCAATTGAGGCTCTGGATGCAGCCATCGAGTACAAGAACGAGTCCATCACATGCAGGCAACGAGTCCTGCGGGCCTCAGCCAGCCTGCTGTCCCAGTGTGAGATGAACCTCATGGCCAAGCTCAGCTACCTCTCCTCCTCTGAGACCCGAGCTCTGCTCTGCAAGTACTTTGACAAGGTGGGAGACAACTACCCTCTGTGCAGGTGGGAACTGTAGTATCTGACCAAACTCTTGTTTTCCTCAGCCTCAAGCCTTCTGCCTGTCTCCTACTGTACTTTTGCCCTGTAAAGTCAGGCCACAAAGCTACAGCACCATGATCCCCACCTGTCCCAACACCTGGGAGAGAGGCTTAACTAGTCTTAGGATGCATGGATCCCTGCGGTGGCTCTGCCACGTCAGTGCAGCCACATGTTTCTTTTCCCTCTGCGAGGCAACTGTGACATCCCAGAACTACTAACCTTTGTACGCCATACCAAAAAACTAACTTGATCAGGCTCGGTGGTGCAGGAAAGCTTCCAGGCTCTGAAGGAGCTGAGATGTTTCTTGCTCTTGGGCCCTGGCCAGGTGGTGACGCTGCGAGAGGATCAGCACAGGCAGCACATTGCCTTCTCGGAGCTGGAGATGCAGCTGGAGGAGCAGCAGCAGCTGGTGTACTGGCTGGAGGCAGCCGTGGAGCGCCAGCGCCTGGAGATGGATCGCCAGCTCACCCTGCAGCAGAAGGAGCACGAGCAGAACATGCAGTTACTGCTCCAACAGAGCCGCGGTAACCACCTAGCTCCTGAAACAGGCAGCAGTGGCACAGCTTTTGTCTTTCACAGGGCTTGCAGCTTGAAATGGCCTTGTTTTTCCTTGTAGAGCACATGGATGAGGGGCTGGCCAGCAGCAAGCTGCAGTATGAGGCGAGGATTCAGGTGCTGGAAAAGGAGCTGAGTCGTTATATGTGGGCAAACCAGGAGCTGAACCAGAGGCTGAGTAACATGAACCTCCATCCTGGACAGACCAAAGGTGAGAGGTGACCCAGGCTGGGGCTTTGCTGTTCCCACCAAGTTAAGAGGAAGGGAGTTTAAATTCCTTTCCCTAGCAGCGACAGCTTGGAGCAGAGTCAGGAGCAGCATGGCTGCAGGTCATTGTTGGCCTTGAGCCAGCGCTCTACGGGCACTGATTTTGATGAGGAAAGTAGAGATCCTGATACTCATCTCACTGTACCCCCAATCTTTCCCAGCAGGGATGGAGAGAAGCATTCACGGGGCTGGGGACAGAGCTCCCCCTGCACTCGGGACCTGCGAGGAATCCAGCCTTGGGGAACAGCCTCTGGCCATCGCTGAAGAAAGCCATCGGATCAGGGATGAGAGCAGGGATCTGGTGCACGCCCCTTTGCCATCGACGTGGAGGCGTTCCTCCCTGCCCAACGACAGTCCCGGGGACCTTCGGCAGAGGGATGCCGAGCACTTACTGAGAGCGGGGCAGCCCCACGAGGTGCACCCACCACGGAGCCTTGCTCCTGCCTCCAAGCCCCGCCGGGAGCTGCGCAGAGCCAGCCTGAATGTGACCCCAGTGCCTTACCACCCAGCAATGATAGACGTGAGGAAAAACCCACTCTAGACACAGGCTTAACACTTACCTGGCACAGGGCAGGAAGGAGCAGATACTGCTGACGTGAGATTAAGAGCCTTTCTGCCCACAAGCCAGCCTGGCTACAAACCTGTTACATTTCAGAGGTCTGAGGAAGAAAAAGACATGACTTTTCATCATAAGGGAAATAAGCATCAGCCTACATTCCCCGTGTTGCTGCCAGTCTAGACAGTGCTGACTGGACACCTTTCCTCCTGCACCCTCAGCAGCTTAAACACTGGGAAGTGGGAGATACCTCCCACCCTGGCCTCTAACACTAAAAACTTGTTTACAGTTTGGAAACCTCTGCTGCAGGGCTTGCTCAGCCCTAGCAGCCTTGGAGGCAGACGCTCTGCAGTCCTGCAGAACTTGTACATAGATTTTTGTAGTAACTTTGGGTTTTTACATTTCTACTGTAACTTTTTTAATAAAGCAGAGTGAGTTTTACGAAGTAGTCACTTGTCAGAGGCTCCAGTCGTCACTTACTCTGGGTATGCAGGAAAGGAGTTCTATTTAAATCTCATTGCATGGGAACTCGGCTTCTGTCACATGTTGCCTTAATGGTTAAGTACCCGCTTTGTAAGTGCTTGCAGTCAGAGCTGGTAGGCTTCCTACGTTGAGTTGCTGCAGGAAAAGCATCTCCAAACAGGAGCAGAATTGTCTGAAGCATCCAGGATGAAAGCAACCCTGGTTCAGTGCCATTTTCTGCTCCAGTCTATAAGCTGCTTTAAGCAGCATTTTCCTACTCTTGGGAAAACTTCCAGTCTGGATGTAAGGGAGATTAAATACAATCCTGCAACTTAACACTGACACCATCCACCTCAGGAAGGAGGACGTAAGTTTAACTCTGGCAGAGCAAGAAAGGAAAGCTCAGGTACCTGCTTTAAGAAGGGCAAGGGGGGAAAATGGCAGCTTGGCTACCTGACCCCAAAAAGCAAGCCACTGCTTCAGCCTGAAATCATGAGGAGCACAGCTACCACAGCTACCATTTGAGGAGTAACATACACCAAGTTGAAAGCCAACATCTGAAGTAGGAACCAACTGATCTTCCTCCTACATATGTCATCTTGCCTGTAGGGGTGTGGCTTTGAGGGGGGACATTACTCAGGGCTCTGGGGGTGGCTGAGCTGCACAAGATTTAAGTTCAGAGCCTTTATTTTCTGCTGCTGAAAACAAAGATCATCAGCAGAGAAAACAAGAATCTATCCTACCTGGAAGTAAGTTGTAGTCTTGGAGCTCCACGCTTGTGTATCTATCCACATTCTTGAAGCAAGTGCACCTCTCCCACAAGCAAAACAACCACTGGTAAGCACACTATTCCTCCTCTCTTGGCAGAGGGAAACAGTCAGCTTTCCTGCAACAGTGTTTCCAGGAAACAAATTCCATTCAATACCATCTAGCCCCCCAGAGCCTTAAAGCCATATAACAAACTTCTGCATTGCCATGCCTGGTTTCAGGATGACCTCACACTATCTTCATAGCTCTCTTCTTCCTCTGCATTCACTAGACACAATGGGGTGACTTCCCCAATACCCGGCCGTGCACAAAGCGATTGCTATCCTAAAGGAAAAACTCAGCCCTTCCAAGACAATGCACAGTTTTAGCCTCTTGTGGGTTATGTCTCAGGCACCGAATCACGGCTCCCGCTGTCTTCATGGGGTTAGAATGCGAGCACATGTTTCCCAGGCAACAGTCACTTTTTAATCAGTGACTCAGTATGGTAAAGAGTAGTCTTTGAACTGTCATCTCCAGTTAGTCCATCAAGTTTTACCTCTCAAGGAAGTTTCCCCAGCCAGTCCTCTCCAGCTCACTGCAGGTTTGCAGAAAAGGACAACGAAGTTTCTCCATCAGCACCTGCTTACCCAGCAGTGGCTAGGAGCAGATATACCAAACCATTCGTGATCTGCAAAGAGGAAGAGTCAAACTCCTCTCCTTCCCTGTTCCGAGCTAAGTTATCTTTCCCCTCCTCTGTACTCTTTTTGGCATTTGTCAAGTATTCTGAGTAATTTACTCATTAATCCGTCAGAACTAATCTGCTTGTTATTTTCCCACTAAGCTGTGGCAAACTGGATGCAACTAACAGAGGGATCCAGTTAGTATCAGGACAAGATACATAGCAGGAGCATGCAGCTTGTTTTGTACGTATTCACCTCCAGCACTCTTCTTCCTGCAGCCCCAATACCTCACCCATCACTTGGGCTAAAGACAGATTTCTGATTAAGTGACACAATGAAAATTCACATCAGTTTATTTTACAAGAAAGCTGTAGAAAAGTGACAGTTCTCCCTCTTTACTTAGCAGAATTGAACCTTCACTGCAGAACTTGGCTACTACGTGCCAAGACCGGGCTAGGTTTTGAATGGATGGACAGATGCTACAATTGAGGTTTAAAAAAATACTTTTAGAGTGGTTCTTATTTCCACTGTCATGTGCTTGCATCCAGTCTCCCACCAACACAAGACAGCTCCAGTCCAGCACCAAATATAAGGTCCTTGTTAAAAAGCATGTTGTACAGCTGGGATAATGCAAAGTTTCCCGTACTGTTCTGGCTCCAAACTTCAGCTGAGCAGCTTTTTCCGTGAGTAAGTCCTGCTAAGGGGACGCTTCCTGGACGCCATGATGTGGAATGGAGACAGCTCCTGGTTGGCAGTAATTTGGAAGGCATCAGATTCCTCTTCTACAAAATAGAAAGAATAATTAAAGTCAAAGTTTACCAGTGACTCCAAGAAGCCAAATACCAACTGGAAACAACAAGAACAGTAAGCTGCACTTCCTACTAAGCTACTTTCTTTCTTCATTGCTACCTCCCCTCCCTTCTAAACTTCCCAGTTCATGCCAAGTTTCTTGGAAGTGTGTGAGATGGAGACACTGAATACAGAAGTGGCAGATACACAGGCTTTCTGCACAAAGACCAATCCCTAGCACAGTATGCTTTTGTTCTCATTTAGTTGCAGGCAAGCAGAGAGCATACCTAGTCTGCTCGAGCCCAGCCTTTCCTTACAGCACAGGTGGTTACCTTGAACACACATCCTCCGAGATGGCGGCGTCTGTCCCTGGCACAGCAGTGGAGACTGGGTCAGTGCTAGAAGGCTGCTAGCGGAGAGCGTGCTCTTCACTGGTGGAGTTGAGCCTGGACAAGCACAGCGAGATGCTGCAGCAAACTGACAACTCAAGAGTGCTTTCAGGTAAGTCTCATACACAGCCTTTACTCTACCTCGAAACTTCCATCAGTACAAGTGATACTTTGAGTTTATCTGAAACAAAACCTATGCTGGCACTGTAGGTTTCTGGCATCAAGAAAGGTAAACGGCAGTCTGGAATTAGCTCTTAGCACATTTAATTTTCTTAGGTGGTTTAGCAGAAAAGTGCTTCATTTGTATTAAACATAGTTACTCTTCAGTTAACTCGCGTGTCCTGGAAGAAAACTGTTAACCATAATGGTCTGTAAATACAAAACCAAGGTCTGTAGGTACAGAAAGTCTCTTACAGGACCAGCTTAAGGCTAAATACTGCTATTATTTCATGTCCTGAATATGGACTAATGTTGCTTTAAAGTTTGCCCATTTTTCTCAGTGACACCCGTTGAATGAGTAACACACTGCCTCTGTATACAAACCTTTCCTTGCAAGAGGAAACAGACACTGAAGCTTAATGCTTCAAGGCATGCAATGACTATGGAACAACATCTGCCACAGTCCCCTGTAATATGTAGTTTCTAGAACAATATGGGGTCAAGCATTTCAAATTACAAGGCCTTGCTTACAGAGCTGAGACAGTCTGTTTCACCAGGGTCAGCTGAATCATCTGTACCCACAGCAAAAGGAAAGAGGCAGTTTAAACTTAAATACCTACCGATACAACATTACTGCTAGCAAGGCAATAATTTCTGATACCCACTTTAAATGGACCCACCACCACAGGCAGATAGAAAAATTGGAGCACCAATAAATACCAACATCCACAGGACTAGCCCAGCCAAGGCTCCAGTCTGTACTGAAGCAGCCAAGCTTTAGACTTAAGACAGGTGGCTTCAGTGCTGGGGCAGAAACAGCTAGCGGCATCAACACAAACCCAAATAAATTGCCAGTTGGATGCAATTGGGATCCTCCCTCCCCAAGTTCTCAAGCTTCCCTTTTAATTCCTCCAGCCTCCTGCTCTTTCATATTACTCTGATCTCTCTCCCATCATTAATACTCCATCGATGAACTCCTCACATCCAGTCTGCCTCTCCACATAATTCCACGTCATTTACAACCCACTCTCCCCCTCCACCTCATTCTCCCTCAGACAGACAGAAAACAATTGTGTTCTTGTTTTTGTCTACCCCACATTTTTAACCATCTCTGAATTTCAATGGAGTGTCACTCGTGCCACTTAATTACCTGACAAAAGGAAGACATCATCATCCCCTACACAACTGTGCTGCTCAAGAGTTATGAGCGCACATGGTCCCGGTTTCTCAGGAAGTACAGTGTCCGTCCTGGATTTGCTTTGGTTGCCCTCATCTGTGGAAAAGCCAGTGAGATCCAAGTTGCACCTATCAGTGCAAGATCTCTTGGCATCATGATTCTCCTCCTTTTCTGGTGATAAATACGTAAAGACCCGTTTCCGAGATTTCAAGTCAAAAGTTCCCATGGTGGAGTCCTCATCAGCCCTGGGTTCAGAGTCACTAGGAGATGCCTGATCCTGAAGCCTGTAAATTCCTTCCAGTTCAAATTCCCCAAGAGTATTTGTTACTTTGCTGCTGCATTGCTCTGAGATCTTCATCTCTCCTTCTCTGCCTGTTGACATTCTCTTCTGTTCATCAGCATTCTTCTCACTTTGACCACAGCTAGCATTAGCAGTGCTGCCTGCTGCTCTCTTTCTCCGAGGCCAATCGTTGATAGCATCAGGGGTAGTCTTCCCCTTCTGCTTTGGAGAAGGCGTCCGGGGAACTCCTGCTTCCAAAGGGGATGGGGAGGTAGCGTTAGAGGCACAGCTTGTTGGGGTGTATGACTGGCATATGTAGGTCTGTCCTCCACCTTTCCCAGGTGTACTGTGGAAAGAGCGAAAGCAGGATGGTGAAACACAAGCAGCTGCTAGTTTTCCTGGGTGCTTGCTACACCAGGTCATAGCAAGATCACCAAAGGGGCTTTCTCCTCCCTTAGGTTTGCTGGCACTTGCTTCAGGTTGAACTTCCAATGATGAGCAAGAGCCAACTTTCTTAATGCGAAGTTTGGGCAGGCCTGAAGCTTGCATTTCAAGTTCAACTTCATAAGTCGGTGGGCTAGCAGAAGGCAGTTTGCAACGACTTTTAGGAGTAGAGAACTTGGCTAGAAGTTGAGGATTTCCCATCCGTGCTGCAGCCTCCCGCTGCCTCCTGTCTGCAGTGCAGCGTAAAGAATAGGCAGGAGCGGACTTTGGCATAGGAGGCGAAGTATTCAGGGCAAATCTGGAGTGTCTCTTAAGACTTGGAGCCTTCAGCCCTGTATATTCTTCTCTCAGCAGGGTTCTTGGTTCCAAGTCATCACTAACTGTTTGAGAACCAATTAGGAAGGAATCACAGGTGTTCGCACTGGAGTTCCTCTCCTTAACCAATTGCTCACGCTCTATCTCAGCATTCTGTGCATGTACCTGCCCTCCAGCAGAAGGCTTTGGAGACAAATACTTTTCCAAGTTTTCCGAGTCCTTTCTTGGAGAAGACTTTTGAGACACTACATCCATCTGTTTATTTTTCTCCGACACAGGGGTATTTTCAGTAACTTGGGACTGACAAAGCTGAAGGCTTTCTACAGAAGAGTTACCACCACTATCATGATGATTGTCCTTATTTTCAGAAGGTGTTGCACATGCAAGTGTGAGGTTCTCTCCTCCAGAATTTGGTTCACATTTGGCCTGCTGGGATGTGTGAAGCAGGGACCTCAGTGAAGTGCCAGTAATACCTGGAGATTTTTGAAAAGATGGTTTAGATGCACTATGTTCCCAGTCAGACTCCCTAGCCTGTGCATGGGAAGGAAAGTAGATTGCCACAGTGTTCGTGGAACTTTCCCAGAGAGGAGAACTGAAGGGAGGCTCTAGCCTCACAGCGAGCTGTGGTATTTCTGCACTCAGTGGGCTGGTACATAATTTTGAACCTGGATCTTCAGGTTTCCTGGGAGTGCTTTTAGTTGCTTGAGGTAACGGATCTGACTGCATCTGAATTTCCTTTGGGAGGATTTGCCTCCGAGTACCAACTGGAGATGCTAATTTTGAGAGGTATCTCAAGGAACGTCTTGGAGTCTGTAGTTCTGGAAAAAATCTTTCCTGGAGGGCAGAGGGGGAAGAAGCAGCTAGATTTGAATCTGTCAGAGGTAACGAGGCATTGAGCACTGCGAACCCTTCATGTTCTGGTATTTGTAAGCCAGCCTCTTTGCAAGGAGGAGAAAGTCTTTCTGCTGGAGAACAATCCTTAGAAGTTACTTGCAGTAAGTGAACCTTCTTACTTTCAGTTAACACAGAGGGTGACTTGGCCCTTTGTACAGGATGAGAAAAGTACTTTCCCAAACACTTAGCTGCAGTCTGCTTAGCAGCTGGACTTTTGCCAGGAGTCTTCTCCAGCTTCTGTGGTGTCCTGTGGAGAATGCGAGGTGATCTCCTTGGTAGCTTACTGGCAGAATTCAGTGGCTTCTGGGCAAATTTATGAGGTGTTTTTCTAGGAGTCTGCAGGAGGGGGGGAAAAAAAAAGAATAATCATGCTTGTTCTATTCCAGCACTATTATCTACCCCTCTTGATATTTATTTCTTCAAATTTAAAACACAAAAGCCATTTGATTAGACTTAACAGAAAGACTAAATTTAAGATATGTAGGTCTCACTAAACACAAATAGAAAAAGGAGATGGGGGGGTAAGTGCTTCTACCTGACAGGCAGTCAGCTCCTCTAAGTGTAAGGAATCTTTTCTTGTTCTCTTCCTTCCAGGTGAATGCTTCACTGCAGAGCTACAAGACTCAATGACTGCACCAAAGAAAAACCTCTTGGGAGTCTGGACAGTGGGGCTCTCTGAATGCCGCTTAATGCCTATAAAGTAGAACAGTACAGTTCAACTACCACCAAGTAACCTGTCACGAACAATGGTCTCAATCACTTCAGATGTATGGACAAGTAGTGTACAAAGCCTACAGCCCTGGCATGTTCTTTTCTAGGCAAATGTTAAAGCTTCACCAGAATTATTGTTATTTCCCAATATGAAACTAATATCCATCTGTAGAAAGAGTACTCTAGTGGGAAAGAAAGTACGATAGCTCAGCCTCTTATTCTATTTATAGCTGGTAGCTTAAGAAAGTTCTGGTTCATGACTAAGGATTCTAGTAAGTACAATATAAAAAGCTAAATGTCACCATTTACAGCTGATAATCCTACTGAGAAAGCCCGCAAAGAAGATCCCATCAGTCATTGCTTTATGCTGCCACAGAGGAGACTGAAAGTAAGCTTTAGGATTTCTGTCCCATATTTTACAAGGATTTTACTGCATTTAAGTAATGAAGACTGACAATCAGTGGTATTCTGTTAGATGGGCCTGACTGGTTTCTTAAGTTGGCAGTGTATTCATCATAGAAATAGCTGCCTTATCGTCCTCCAAATTCAGATTCCCAATTCAAAAATAATTACTGGGGATGAATTTCTGTCTACAGAAGATATTACATGATAGCTCGTAGCTTCTTACAGTCTCTTGTAGAGCCAAATCAAATCGAAGTCAGACCTATCCACGCCAGCTTTTCAGATCAGCAATATCAGCCTGCTCAAATCCCATTCAGTACCTTCTACATCCTGCAGTGTACAGCTCTCCTCTTGTCCCTGATGGACTCGCTGTGAATTTTGAGAGCTGGGCTGTGTAGTGGAATAGAAAACACCAGAGCAGGTCCTATTCAGAGACAGCTGTTTGATGCGTGGGCTTCTTCTCAAACCTGCTTCTGAAAAAGGATATTGGAGATTGAGCTTTCTTTCTCCCTCAACAATGGGGACATCTTCAGGAACAGTTTGTAACTGAAAACACACTCTAAGAAGCAACTTCCACACAGCTAACTATCTCATGTAGGGAGGCAAGCATGCAAAGAAGAAAGCTTAAACTTTCTTGGGGATTTGGAATATTAATGCGTACAAATCTCCTTCCAAATCGTGATGCCCCCTCGTCTACGTCATGATTACTCTCATCCCTCTCTAGCAATTATATGGAAAGGAACGCTAGAAAAGCCATGTTCAATTCAAGTTACATCCAGGTTAAATGATTAGTTAATTCTCTTGTCTCTTTTTACTAGTGATTTCGTCTTCCTGCTTGCCCAACCATGCTGTTTTCTTCTTCCTTCCTAAGGATAAGAAACAGCAGTAGCCAACACAACACAGAGGCACTCCACAGAGCCAGTTGGCTATCTGTTACAGTAGAAATCAGAGCAATGTTAAGATCACAGCACAACATGTTGAGGTTACATTAAAAAAAACCCTGCATGTGCTGGTTTGACAATAATTATAGCAGCTCAGAATCTTGTTCACCCTCGAAGATCTTCATGCATTTTCATTTAAAGGAGTTACTATCTACCTTTCTTTCTCAACTTCTGCTATACAGGGTCGTCAAAGCAGTGAGCAGCAAGTGGTTCTGTCAGAGGAGGCTGTGCTCCACCAGCAGAATAGTACAATACTTTTGTACTAACTATTCATGAATTACCTAAATTGAAGCATGCTCATCTTACGAGCTACAATACAGCAAAACCACCTTTAATCAAAAATTAGTGCTTACCATTTATGGCCTTCTCTGGAGATTCTTCTACAACACCGGTGTCACAACCTGGATCAGAAGACCTTGAGAAACAGCAGACATTTTGGACTTAGCATACTGTTCACATTTACAAAAACAGAACTTACTACATAGACTGAAAAGCAGTACTCTATTCTACAACAATATATTGCTTTGTGGGCTACTCTAAGTGAGCAATTAGTAAGCACTTTGCTTCCTATTAACATATGATTGAGTATGGGTAACTGTCTAGCTGTATAGGTAACAGTTCTACATGGAAGTCAATGCTAAATTTCAGCCTGGAGTCCACAAAACACAGCACAGGCCTTTTCTTCAGAAGGTCTTGAAACAGCAACTGAACCTAAACAGAATTCAGCTGCAGGAATTAAAGCACCCTGACTTGCACAATGAAACAAGCAGTATTTCTCCCCACTCAGACAACAGAACTTAGACTCCACTGGTTCTCTTACTGCCTTAGGTGAAGATGACACTTTGACTACAAAGACGATACCTGGTTCTTGTGCTCGCAGCCATTAATTAGACATCCAATACTTACTGAAGAAATTCAGAAAGACCTTACTTACCGGCCTTTGATCTGCTTATGTAGTAGTCTCCTGGAGACCTGCTTATGTAGCGGTGTTTCTGCAACTCTCTTGGTCAGTAACTTGCGATGATCTAAAAATCAAGCAAGAGCTATAACATCACACAATTATAAAGCAGTTAGGATGAATAAATGTATAGGCTTCAGTTTAAGAATGACAGCCAATATAGAATCATTGTGCATCAGTCTCCCAGCACTCATAAGCTATCATCATTTCAGAGTCCAGTGTCTACACTTCCTTCCCACTCCCTCAATATTATTAATAGTGCTGACTTTGTGTCAGACATAATTAACCTACTGAGATAACTTTCATTGTTCATTTTTCATTCACAGATCTTTTTTAACCAAGCATTTTTAACATTCGTTTTCTTTATGAGACGTAGAGAGTTCAGTAAAAAAATAGGTTTCAGTTTTTCAATACCATCCTATTCACCCTCCAAACACCACAGCAATGATCTAAAATATTTTCTCCTTCATTAAAAACATATCATAATTAATTGTTTCATAGAACTGAGGACACAAGAATAAGAATTTTAACAAAAGCTCTTCCACAACAATCCTACCCGTGCAAGTCATGTCCCACCTTTAGTGCCTTCATCAGTGCATTTGTATCTTAAGCCTTCCACAGCAGATACTGACTGGCTTCTAGGCATCTTCTTCATAGATCTTTTTGATGGTGAAAGTATCTCTTCGTTGAAGAGGTTCCTCCTTACCTTTGTAACCTCTGTGAGGCAAGACAAAGCAAGAAATGATCAGATTAAAAGGAAAAAAAAGGGGAGGGAAGAAAAAAAAAAAGCACAGGAAGGTAATTTTGTCAGGCCACTAGAAATGGGAACATCATATACCAGCATAGAAAAACAACTTTTTAGAGGCCAAAAGCATTGAAAAATTCTTTTTCTGCTACTGGAACATGTCCTCCTCTAAATCCATCCTGGATTTCTCTTACAAATTGGCATTATTTGCATTATTCCAGCAATGCTGCTAGCAGATGCTGTAGCAGAAAAAGCAGCCAGTCAGTGTCCCAGATGGAGCAATGTTAAGTGAGCTACAAAATCTCAACTGAAGCACATGTTGGTTCAGAGAACGCATGTGGGATTTGATTTTATTAAGTATTTTGCAGAGAGGTATCCTGTTTCCAGATATAGGAGTTCACTCTTGTCCTCATTTCCTTTTCAGGAAAGAGGAGATGGAAATAATTGCAAAATTCAAGGAAGAATGCAAAGGGGTTTTTTTCAGGATATATGATTTAAATTTTCTGCATGCGAGCACACACAGAATACAGTGATTATTTTTTCCCCTCAAAGTTTTTTCAGAATTCAGTAATACTTTCTTCTGCATGCTTCAGCATAATTTCATCACGGCTCACTAAAATTTACAGGGAGAACATGTGCTGAAGACGCACCTTTCCATGGAAAAGCTAGAAGTCAATATACCTTGCACTGCTTCTTTCTGCAACAAAGGCATCTGTTGGGACTTCTCAGTGGCAAGGTAAGAACGCAAGTTCTCCTGAAACAAAAAAGAAATTAGCTTCACTGGCAGTTTAATGTTATGTTTAACTGTTATGAATATTAACTGTAAGCTCTAAGCCACACATTATTTCAATTTCTCCTTCAAAATTATTTTGACCTCTGTACAGCTAATACAGGGCATACTTACTAAGTGAATACAGGGCAAGAGTTTTTGCACTCAAGTGTCACTTCACAACATTGCTGCACCCCTGCAGAAGCAACCCACACACAATCCTTTTGGAAGAGTTTTACCTTTCTGATGGGATTCTTGGCTATCTTGGGAATCTCAATTTGACGCAAGTTTTGTGGTGCTTCTGTCATGCTCCTGTGTCTGGCTAACACATTATTCCTTTAGAAAGTATACAAAGATTAAGTTAAAATAAAATCAGAAGCATAGTTATCAACCTAATGACAATTAAACTTAGGTTTGACCCTAGAGATAGGAAGTCTTTACCTCAATTCAGTTTGCAAATTGCGTTGGTACCTCACTCATGTTACAACACTGAAAGATGATTTGCAATATAAATAGCTATACCTAACTTTAAGGTTGGTATTAAAACTCATTTCAGAATTTGCCAAAATGTACACAGGATCCCCAACATAGACATCTACAGTAAATCGCAGTTTTAACTTTAACAATACAGGGTCACCTACTGCACAGTAGAACATCCTCTTCCTCTCATAGAAGATGCTCGTGAACTCTACTTGTACAGAAGATACACATACAGAATCAAGATTACACTTTTATATAGTCAACAATGGCAAGTTAAAATGAAAAATAGGAGATCTTAATATTTCTCTCAGGCTTGCAGAGCTATCAGCAGGTGTCAGCTTGCCCCAACTAGCTATCCAGCAACAGAAACAAAGACAACCGAGCTGTAGTTTAAATAACTTCTCAGCCACAGCCCAGGCTGCAACAAGCTGCCTCCTATTTGGAATTATTACCTTCTCTTTTTGGCAGATCTGGTGCGCAGCTCCTCCAACTGTTCGCTCTCGGTGCGTAGGCAAACAGTGCTGGGAGTTAAGGCAGATGATAAAGACTGTGGAAGGCCTGGAGATTTGCTATCCAGAGTCACAGAGTCATCACTGAAGAAGTCTGAAGGCAGAACAGATGCCAGCTTCGGAGGTATTTGTGTACCGAGACCGTAATAAATATCTCCAAGGGTCTTCGGTATAGAATTCATATACCTAGAGCATCAGAAAGAACCCATATCAAATACAATCCCCCAAAAAACTGTCGGTATTTCAATCCCAAGGTTTGAACTAAACCTTTGTTCTTAAATGTCAATTAAAAAAACAACTGGAAATCAACTGTTTTTTCTCATTAGTTTACTTGCTTATCAGCTACTTTTTCTTTAACCAAGATGTAAGTGTAACAAACAGAATGTGTCTAAACTTACGAAAATTACAAAGATGCAGTATATCAAAGCTGTAGATTGCTGTTTACTCAAAGATATCCAACCAAAACCACAGTCCCCAGTAACACTTAAGTCATGCTAAAGAACTTACAATTCTAGTATTTCCTCTAGAAACTTTGTAAGATACCGTGCATCTTCAGTCAGACATAAAATGCGCAGCATATCTGTCATCTGGAAGAGAAAGTCAGGTGGGAAATGGATTAAGTTGTGACAGTTGCAACACTAGATTTTTTTTTTTAGCAAGGAATATAAAGTGTTACAGTAAAATCAAGGGAAAACTACAGGTTCCAGGTCTGCATTTCTAGTGCCATCCAGAAACACAACCTGGTCTATAGTTTACTTGCCTCTTCTAACAGCTGCTCCATTTCATCAGTGTTGCTTTGCAGTGAAGGGCACTGAAGGCATAACTCAAGGCGCAAAAATACCTGAAGTCGGCACCTAAGAAAACAAGTAATCATTCACTGCCTTTTTTCTGGTGGAAACAGCATATTTACTGCAAAAGGTATGCTCAAAAAGCAATGGGAAGGGAAGTGGCTCCTTTTGACAGCATGATTTGGTTAGCATTTAATTTTGGTGGCAGGGAAGATGCCTCATTTCAGATATAGGCTGCAATGCTTATCACACAGCGTATGTGTATTTGAATTTAATGAAATGTTTTTACTGTGACCAGAGATTATCCTTGGAATATTTACCCCACGTAAATACTTTTCCACTTGTACAAAAAAGCCACCACTAAAAATTGCTAACCAACTCCACAGTATCTCAGAAGTTGAAGTGAATAGAGTGTCTCATACTCTCTGACTTTGGTCTCCTTCTGTGAGCCATGCTGTTGTCTGAGCATTTTGCTAGTCTTCAGGAGATGGTTTCTGACTCTTTCCACACAGGCCACCTGCAGAGACACATAATTACAGCAAAAACTTCAAGTCTGTTCCCTGTCTGCAGGACAGGTTTTCCCATCCTCCTCTCCTGACCCATTCTTTTGGGAATAGCTCCCAAGAATTTTGGGAGATATTCCAAAACATATGTGGAATATGTCCCAAAATTATATTTGGGAGATAGAATAAAATAGAATTTTTTTATTCTCCTTCAAGGAAAGGAATTCTCTTTTTCTTTCAGTAGCAAAGTCACGATGACATGAGACATAGAACAACTTATAGCTTGAAATCACAGAGAAGGTCACTTGCTTGCAGCTTCAGGCCTTCTTCAGTAACCATAGATTTGTCTTTCACAGTTTTTTTTTTTCAATTATTCGCAAGTTTACCAATTTTGGTTTCAGTGAGTTACTTTAAGTCTATAAATAGTGTTAAAGATTGTAAGAAATACCTTGAACTATTTCTCTTTCCTGGAGAAGTAGTAGGCCTAGATTTGCCATGCAAAGCAAAACCAGAAGACACACCTTTTTTAAAATATGGTTTGCAAGAATGTATTTTTTAAAATACTGTATTTAAATAAGTGAAATTGGAATTCAGAATGAGGTCAATGTAAAGGAAAAAGACATCTGTTGCAATCTTTAGCAAAGATGTAAACTGATAACTGAACTGGATTTTCCTATATTCTTTACAGCTACCTACAGTTTTTCACTATTGAGTCAGCGCAGATAGTCAAAACCACAACCACTAACTACTTCTATGTGCAACTACGCATAAAAATTTCAGGTAAGATGAAGGAAAGGTGGCCTGAAATAGTAAAAACTTCAATTTCCAGATCAGTAACAACCCTGCCCACATCCTCTTACCTACCTCTTTCTCTTTGGCATCTTGTACTTTCAAGAACCTTTTAATGGCCATGATCATACTCTGGGCACACACAGATGAAAGAACTCCCTCAGCAACAGCCTTCTGGTAGCTTGCAATTAAATGAGACTGCAGTTCCTCCTCTGCTTTGAAGTCTGCAAGGGAAATGTTTTAAGTTAACTAAATGCCTGTTCACCACGCCTTACTGATAAAATACTCATTCCAACTGAAGAGGGGAACAGAGGAGGTCATCAAAAAAGATTTTCTCCAGCAAAGATGCATCCAGACCACAGAACACTAACAAAAGCAGTCCCAGGTCCAGACCCATGAACAAATGATAAGTTTAGTTCCAAGTAGATCAGCAAGCTTTTGGGCTACTGTAGCAGTCAACAAATGCCCTTTATTTCTGCATAATTAGTAAATAGGACTACATTTCCAGTTACACCTTGATGGGTGCTTCCCTCTACTTATTTTGGTTAAAAAAAAAAGAAAAAAGATAGTTCCTTATCGTTTTTTTCAGATGCAGACAAGGCAGGAAGCTAACCCCAGGATTAGTTGTAACACTAGGTTGTAAACATTTCTAGAAACTAACTAGGAGAAGGGTTGAAAAAAATAACCACTCTGTGCCAAGCTGAAGATACAGAAACCCAAACATTGATCCACTCCCTAGCACCTAATACTCCATTATTATCCTTCCCTCTCCCTTCCATAAAAATGCCATATGACCTCCTACAAATATCAGGACTGATATTTATCTCAGGACTGATAACTTAACACATACCTATTGATATTTTAAGTGCCTTTTCCTTTTCTTCCACCTTTTCATCCAATCTTTTTGCTGAAAGCTTCTGTGGAACATTCTCATTCACTGTTGGAGGCGCACCATCAGGTTGAAACTTCTGAGCTTTTACATTCAGTCTTGCTACGTTGAGCATCTGCAAGGACCTGGACATGGTCTTCATCTTCTGCCTGACTGGAGTTCGGGGAACCCCACCTGCAAGGCCACAAAAAGGGAGTTCTACTGTCAGACACACTGGGGCAGGAACTCCACCCAAGGTAGAGCATAATACTGAATTCTGTGTCATGTCAAGTGCGATTAGTAACCTTCTAGTGGAACACATGGCCCAAAAGGTTTGTATTTCTCCATGAAATAAATGTACAGACAGCAGAGCAGGGAGCTACTTCTCTTAAGTAAAAAGCAGGTGAAAACTGTTGCCCTGCATAAGAACTTACATAGGTATAATTAGTTATGTATATAGGAAGCAATCTATAGCAATGTCACAGAAATAGAAATAGCTGACAGCAAGACTTAGGGATACATCAGGTCAGGGTATATGCAGGTCAGGTGTACTGAAATGCAATGATTAAACTCTTCTAGAAGAAAGTGTTTTATTTCTCCAAATTAGAACAAAGTTGAGAGGTTGCAATATTTACTAGTAGTTGGAGTGGCCCCTATTTCAACAATTAGTGAAACTGCAGAGCTCTGAATGCTGCTTTTTAACAGTTTTATCAGTCACTGTGCAGCCTTGAATTAAAAAGTCATTTGGGTTGTACAAAAGGACAATCCTAATATCAATATGTAAATGATGCTGTCTCTAAATAAAAAAAAACTAAAGCGTGCCACTACTCAGGAGAGTACAAATCTCTAGGGTTCATACATTAAAAAGGCCTGCTGAGAAGTCTTTATAATCTTAAATGGACAACATGCACATATAATCCCAAAGTATACATACGTCTTTTTCTGTTATTTCCTGGTCCAGCTGCAGCAGATGTTTCACTGAATTTTCTCTGGTACAGCTCAGATAGACTTTCTGAGAGTTCCACTTCAGATTGGTCTGCATCATCCTTCCCGTTAGCACAAGGAACCTGCAGGAGCCTATATAAAACAGCCATTCAATACAGGGATCAAAAAAGGTGATAGTGGGTGGCATATCCCTTGTTCCCAGTGGACAAGAACCCGTTTCTTCTATATGCCAGTCCACAGCAATATAGTGCAAGTAACGCATGCTAGTACTCTTCCAACACCTGCTCCCCAAAATTCTTACTTAGAAGATACAAAAATCCCAAACCACCCTCTTAGAAGGGTCACACCAAGTTGAAAACAAGCATAACAGGAGTTGCCTGATGTACAATGGATATGCCACTGATCCATGCCATAAAACTACAGGAGCAGCTTTGTGCTATCTAAGCTATCCTGGTTTTTTTATGTTTCACTGAGCAAGCTCTTTGAAGAAAGCAGGCTTATTCATTCCTAATAAATATCAACTGTGATAACACAACCACTATCTCCAGTATCTTGCAGTGGATCTTATCATACCATAAGAAGAGCTGAAGTCTGACATTTTCCCAAGTAGCTTAGGTCATTTTAAGTCACCTATATCACTCCTGAAACTGTCAAGATCTTAATCCATGCAAACTGCTACCCAAACATCCTGTTCCCAGTTCCTTTTGTCCACACACCAAGACATAATGAAGCAAAAGCACACAGTAAACTGAGTACAAAAATAAAAGCACTACAAGGAGCATTTAATTCTAGAACTCTGAGCAACGCTAAGCCATACTCCCTTAATAGGAAGCAGAAATCCTTGATTATTACTCAGAGACATGTTGCAGAAAAATACCTGAATGACTCCATCAGATCTGAGCTCGCTCCACAAGCATTCGATGCAGGATACCATGCTTCAAGCACTGAAGGATGCCAGCCCCCCGTATGGGACAGTTCCCGTTGGACCCACTCTGGCATAGGAGTTTCTTCTCCTGTGAGCAGGCACGCAAAAAAAAATTAGAAGAAAACTAAATGAAGTGGCGGAAGGTCCCAGCCTTCAAAGAGGCTCTAAAGCAGAGGCTTCCAAACCTTTGCTCCTGGAGGGGCAATCACTATAACACAAAACAGGTGAGCTAAAACAGCCTCCTTGCAGCCACACCCAAAGGCTTTACTGGCCAGGGATGGCCTATGTGACACATTTTAGGAAATCTCATTCTAAAAACTTGTCCCCAAGCACAAGGAGCTGCACTTTATCTACAAGCTAATGGAAACTAATGCTCTGTCAATAAAACAAAGGTACACATGTACAGATTTCTGCATCACATCACAAGGCCTAAGTCACAGAAGACAAGACAAAATTAACAAGTCCCAAAAATGAGAGACTCCTTGCTGAGGAAATCATTAGCTTTAGATTTTTTCACTCCAAATCAGATCTAGAGATGATCAAAAGATGGTAAGTTTTGCATTTCCTGACACTTACCCATACTGGCCAGAGAATCTTCCATCGATGTATTAATTTTACTCAACACACTATTCACAACATCTGGGAGGTGAAGAGCATGGTCTTGGGAAGAGTTCTCCACTACAGCTCTTTCAAGGTCGCATCGCTGAACTTCAGCGATCTTCTCAGTACCGAGTATAGTCAGAACTGCAGTGCTCTCAGAAAGTGGTGATAAAACAGCAGTGCAGGGGCACCAAGTTTTAGATAGAGACACCTCAGCAACCTACATTAAAAAAAAAAAGATAAAAGTTTACGTTACCTAGAAATACAGAGACCCAAGGAGTATAGGTACTTTACAAACAGGTTATAGACTTACATGATCTTCTAAAGAATGTTCTGAATTTAGCTCCAAATGAGTAATTTGCAGTGCAACAGATACCACTATTATCACCTTCACAACACCCCTTTTGTCACAGCTCATTTCAGAGTAGACATTAGTTTAAGGCAAAGAGGAAGATTTACCATGTGCAGTTCTTCAGTCACTAGACTCCTTAACAGCTCATGAAACAGTGACCTGTTACATTCTGCCTGCTCAGCCTCTGAGCTCTGCAATATCCAGCTCTCGGTGAGAAAGGGGCCAGCCTGCATCAAGCTCCAACTCGTCAAACTACCTTTCAGGAAGATGCTGACTGGACAATGCAGTTGTCTTTGGCTCATGGCTAGGGGTTCCAGGATCACAGCACAGCTTTCCTGCTTCTTTCCTCCTATGCAAGGATAAGATAAAGCAAAAGTTCCAAAGCATGGTTTTTCATCTAGATGAAGAGACAACTTCAATGCAAGAAAAATAAATTCCGAGATTAAACTGGGAACAGCTCTACAGTAAGTGTATTGCAGAACTGATCTCCCCAAGCTCCTTCCTCATGAAGGAGCTACATGCACTAATGAGAGAGCCAATGCACACTGCATGTTGCTTTAAAGCTAATCTGCTTTGTTTTGAAGGGGCTTTATATTTGTGTTTTCAGTTTAGCCAAATTGAAGCTGAGGCAAAACATGTAGAAGAAAAGGGTGTACACCTATATAAGGTAGAGCCGGCAAAAAGCTCTTCTTGCATCCAAATTTCTGGAAGCATGGAAAACTGAAGAGACCAAATCAGGAATATGAGCTAATAGCTTTCATATCACAGGAACTAGGGCACATGCAAGACTTTTTTCTTTTTTAAACTTAGGCTCTTAAACATCTGAAGTTACTTCTACACATACCATTCACAACGGAAACTCATCAAGGACTCTGCATGAGAGATCACAATCATTACTATGCACCTAACTTTTTTTTTTTAAATTACCAGGCATGTTGAGAAACAATGTCCCTTCTTGCTGGGGGAATACTGCTTGAAATACAGAGGGCTTTGAGAACAAGCAGTTCAAAGTCGCGTCCAATGGCAGAAGCGTGGTCCAAGGTACAGTCTGTGGCACTGGAGAACTTGAGTCTCTAAGAAAGCCATGAGCAAGATCTGCCCTGTGGTGACTCAAATGTTGCACTAAGGTTTCAGCTGGCAAAATGGTGCCTCCCGTCTGATGGATCAGTTCAAACATTGTCCAGTATCCAACATGATCTGGGGATTCGATCAGCTGAAATAAAGTAACAGAGGTCTCAAGTTAACGTTGGCAGTGAAGTAACCTCCATCTGAACAAATACAGATCACATGCTTCTAGAAAAACTGGCATAAGAAATGTATACAGAGCATCTTAACACAGTGCTTTCCAAGGGTTTTTATGGAGTTTATTAACCTTATCAGGAACCCAACAAAGAAAATACTATTCCCACTGAATTAAGCAGTAGCCAACATTTTCAGGCATGTATCTAGACACCCGAATTGTCAGACTCTTTATCTGCAATTCTGAATAGCTCTACCTCCCACCTAACTCAAAGCACAAGACAACCCAACAATAAACACCGAACAGTTACTCATCGCTGATATATCTCTGTCTCCACAGAGAGAACTACCATTCCAGTTTTCAA